GTCAGGAGCACCTGGAAGTTCAGGCAGTGCCTCTACCTTTTCCTGCCAGAGTCGGCAGGACATGAGCTCTTTCGCTGCTTTGTGCAATCCATTCACCAGGAAGGCCCATATGGCCATGTTTCACCTGTAACACTGAATCCCCTAAGATTATATGTGATATTCATTTCACTCCTCACAAGTTGTCCAGCCAAGGAGACTGCCTTAGGGGCTACTATTAGTTCTTCCTCTTTGCAGGTAGGAGCTCAGGGAAGCGGGCAGTTAAGAAAGGGGCTCTTGAGTTTGACAAGTCAGTTCTGCCTCTTGCCAGCTGAGGGATGTAGGCAATTAATTATGGTGTTAGTTCCCCTTTGTCCCTCATCTATAAAATGTGGGATAATACTGGATCTCATGCAATGTTAATATGGTTACAGTTATCACAACAGTATCACAGGACTATTAGGAGAAACTATTGAGATATGATGTGCTTGTACAATACGAAGCACAAAGCAATGTTAAGTACTGCAGGGACTCCAGTGAAGTACCTAGGCATTCCATTCCATGTATCATATATAGTGTTCTCCAGTCATATATAAAAGTCCTAAGTTATAAGAATCATTTCATGTGTTCAGGAGCATAACCAAACTGGGTAGACCCAAAAATGGCATTTAGAGTCACTTTTCTGTCGCTAGAACATACAAGTTTTCTCTCATGGGTTTACTTACAAAGTGGATCTTCTTGGCTGGCTATGTTAACTTTGAGCTTCTAAGTGATACTTATTTGGTATTCATCTAGAACACAGATCACAAATTAGCAAGCCTACGGTATGTGTATAAGAAAAAGAAAAAAATTAATATAGTATAAAAACAATAAAAACAAGTCGTAAGATAAGTGGCAAATGCACTCATCCTCAGAGCTAGGAGATGAGAGAAACTGCCCTACCCAAGGCTGGGCACAACTGGGACCCTCGCTTCTGTCTAAGGGATTCCCTGTTACTCAGAAACAACAATCTTTATTGGTGGAAAGGCAGGCCTAATCTTCCCAGAATTTCTTATTTTTCAAGCACAAGCAGATATCTGAAACTCTTCTAATTTATGGATATCAGAAGTTCAAAGTATATTTGAAACTCTAAATTCTTCATCATCATCAGAGACCCTGAAGTCAGGCTCTGGATTCAGATGTACATTCAGTCCATGCACTTGAGCTGGCCAAACAAAGACCAAGCGATAGCTATATAATGCTGGATTTTAAGTTCCATACATAACAAGGCAATTTCTAATGTGGCAACAATTTGTAGTTGATTCTGAATGGTGACCTCTTTATTCAGGAAGATTCTACTATAGGTTGTCTTTCCTTTTACTATTCCTTAATTTTCTGTTGGTTTGCACCTCCCTTCTGCAACCCAGCACTATCTAGAAAGGAAGAAGATTGTGAATTTGTGAATTCTTATTTTTCTATGATAAACTGAGGTCCAGAGCAGCTTCCTCAAAGTAATCTCCAGTGCTCATTCAACTACACTGCATAGTAGAGCAAGCCAAGGATGCTGTTATACCCCTTGAGCAATCACTTTAGATATATTCTAAGAAAAAAAGACACTGAACATTCTTTCATGTCTTCAAATCACCAAGAAATTATTTGGAAGACATGAGACTTAAAGAGAAGCTTCCTAAGATAAAAGTACAGCATCAGTTTTGGTATGAAAATGTGAAAAAGGAAACAGGAGTGCAGGGAAAGGTTTTGAGGTGTCATAGGTGTAATATTTATAATATGCTCTCTTCAAATGATTAACAGCTCCACATGAACGAATATAGGAATCAAATAGATTCTAAACAGACATAAATTATTATTTATTTGTGAGCTGAATTAGTTACACTATTGCTCCTTCCACTAGTAACAATTCTTGATCTCCCAAAGTACGATCCACTTTCAGACTTACTACCAGGATCCACTGTGCTTAAAAGCCTGCTTTGTTGACATCTGGAAGAGTCACTGTCAATAGCAGATGATCTTCCTGAACACACTTACACTGATTTTTCTACTTAACCTGCCCCTTAGTAGGGATAAACCATTTGAAAGACAACTATTTATCAGCTCTTGATCAGTGCAAAAAGTGAAAAGAGAGAAGGGGAAAATCATTCATCATCTAAAGGGACTTTGCAGGCAGGTTCTGAATTCCTATCTACATTCAACCCACCTTCAACTGACATCTGAACCTGGGAGAGCCGAACTCCTTCTGTAACGTAAGCAAAGGGGAGGCTAATGGCACTTAACTAGTAGGGAGGTCAAGAGGAGAAAATTATGTAACATTCAAAACAACTCACAGTAGTAAATCATACATGTGTGCATCAATTATTAAGATCTCTTATGAGGCAAAGCAGCATGGGAGACATTTTACACGTGTAAATCATTTAACCCTCCAACAACCCTGTGAGTTAGGGATTATTGATTCCCATTTTAAGGAAAAGAAGGGTGAGACCTAGAGAAGTTTCCAGTCTAACCATGGAAAGCCAAGACTTAGCAAGTTTAACTGATTTACCTATGAAGCTAAGAAGCAGAAAGGGTGGTATTTGAGCCCCAGCTGACCAGCTCTAGAGCCAAACCTCTCTGCCTGGTGCATTCTGAAGCCCCAGTGAACAGAAAGACATCATTTTTTTAGTTGGAAGCGGGTGTAGAAGGAGCAGTTTTAAATAATGAACCATCAGTAAGCTGGAAGTGAAAAGCACCAGGACAGGTCCTGGGACCATGAGAAGTCAGAACAAAATGGAGCACAGAGATGAGATCACAGCACAAGAGAGGCCTGCATCCATGGAGTGGGAGTGCGGTGGAGCCAGGAAGCTGCAGGGCTGTGGGTGCTCTGGGGTGGGGGTTGAGTAGCTGCAGGACGGGGAGAGGTTGTGAATGACAGGGAATCACAGCCTCGGAGGCTGAGGGTGCAAGAGATGGATGCTAACACAGGCGCTGCCCCTGCCTTCTCTGCGCGGATGTGCTCCATCATTACAGAGCCAGCGTTCCAAACGGCAGGTAGGTCGGAACGTGTCCCTGGGTATTTTATGCCCTTGTAGATCAGCGTTCTCAGTGCGCTTCTCACCTTATTTCTTCCCCGCCCAAACTGAACACCGACCCTTGCCATGGGGCAGGTTGTAAGTCCCTCAAATATTTGCACTTTCAACATAACACACTTCCCGTGTGTGGAGAAATTCCTGAGTTGAAAGGTAAATAAAGAATAACTGTTAACAGTTGTTTTGAAGTTTCCCCTTTCACTGAAAGGGAAACTGAGCCAGATCCTGCTAACCTAAGTAATGGCCCCAGACCCGTTCTTTTTGGGGGGAAGAAAAAGAAGACTGAGTATAAAATTGTGTTTCAAAACCTCTGATTTACCTCTTTTAACTTAACACTTGGGTTAAGCAAGAGGCAGCAGGAGACCATGTCATTACTAAGCGATGCTTTTATTTGCTTTTGCTGTGCCTGATATGTATTGCTTGCATGCACATTTGGGGGTATTTAGTAAATGAAACTTGGGCCCTGGTTATTTATTTACCAATTTTCCTAGCATTATCAAGAGCAGGGAGTGGCTGTGACTTCCCCAATCAAGCACGCAGCTGTTTCAAAGACCTCCCCTTGCCCATGCTCCTGCACGCTGAGGAACTACATACACTAAAGCATGAGAACTGTGGAAAGGGTGTTAGTGTAAAACTTGAGCTTCCAACCAAGGGAAAGACTCTTCTCCAAACATTTTGGACTTGAAGTTGACCGCTTCCTAATAACCAACAGACAAGGCAGCTGCTTATGACCTTTTGGAGCCTTGGAGCCCAGGACTGTCTCCTAAGCAAGTCAGAAGGAATAAGACAAAGGGTTTCTCACACACACACCCTTACCCCATGGTCTAGGCCTTCTGATTTAGATAATAGTACCCAAACCAAGCTCCTTTGGACTGGCAGAGATCTGACAACCAGGAGCAGTCACCATGGCCATGCTGATTGTTAAAATGTGGACACATTCATCTCAGTTCAGCTACCTTCCTTGAGTCTCCCAAGAGGCATGTTGCTCCACTTGTCATCATGGAGTCACCCTGAAACTTCTATAATTCAATAACTAAAAGACTAGCACCCTACCCAGGCAATGGGTGATACTTTCTCATTGGGTAGTATCTTTGCCATTCAGATTTTAAAACATTTTTATTACCTCTGATTAATTTCATGTACAACTCTTCACAAGATTCCAAGACAAATGGACCTTTTCCTGAATTCCTTTTTATAGCAAGCAGAATAATAGGAAGATTCCTGTGTGCCTAAGGTTTCCTTGCTGACTTAGTTATCTATGGATGCGTAACAAAATTCCCCCAAAATATAGTGGCTTACAACAGGAATGATTACATCCCAGTTTCTGTGGGGCAGGAATCTGGGTCCAGCTTACTTAGATGCTCTGACCTCGAGATGGAGCCACGCTGTTGTCAAAGATCAGTTTCTCACAGGCTTTTGTTCAGAGGGGCTTCGCTTCTCTGGATACTGGCCAGAGATCCCTACCTCACGGGCCTCTCGATAGGGCAGCTCACAGCATAGTAGCTGGTATCATCTGAGCCAGTGGTTGGGGGACAGAAAGCTCAGTCTTTGTGTAATCTGATTTTAGGATGGGAGCTGTAGCACTTGGGCTATATTCTAGTCCTGAAAAACTAGTCTTTACATCCAATCAATAAGTGGGTCACACAAGGAAACTTCAGGAGGCAGTGATCACTAGGAGTCATTTTAGAAGCAGCCTGGCCTACCTGTCAGTGTCAAGGGCCAATTTTCTTACTTACTAGCTGAACAACCTTAAGTAAATCACCTAACTTTGCCCAGATTCCACTTCCTATGGTTAAGACAGAAATGTTTCCCTGCCTCCACTGTCTTCTCTTTAAAATGGAAATTAGGAAACCCTATCTAAGTAATAATCTCTGAGGAAATTTGCTCTTCTCCACAACCATATCCCAAGAAGATGTGAAAGAAAAATCTTCAAATTAAACTTTAAGTTTGGAGATGCGGGTGTGCCAGGCAGTCATCCCTGGCTGCAGACATTTTCAACAATACCTTCCTTCTTTCTTAAATATACCGCGAAGGAGATACTCTCTATATGGGAACACTGATGCAGGAAAACAAGACCAGTGAAAACCCAGAAGAATGGAATGTCTGCTAGATCTAGGTCTTACTGGCAAGCTGCAGCCTCTTTGTAACCTCACCAAGTCTTCTGTGAAGTCCTCCACCGCCCAAATTGGCAGCAGAACACAAGGGAAATGAATCTTCAACAATGTCCATGGGAGCCGCGCTGCGGTGGAGGCTGTGTAGAATCCCTGTGGTTCTCAGCAGCCCCATGAACAGACTGAATGGCAAAACTGTAGAAGAACAAAACACAGTAGGCAGAGGTGGAAATAGAAGCCAACATTATATTCACCTCACTCGGGGTTCGGGGCAAGGCCTTTCTCTTCTTCACCCTGCCATCTCCTTAAAAGAGCGCAATCCCAGACTTACCTTTTGTTTGAGTCCCAAAGACTCAGAAAGGATGTTTAATCACTTAGCCCAACTCTCCTCTGTCTAGTAGAGTACAAATGATTTACTGTTTCTAATTGATACCAAATAGTGTCTTCTACAGATTATGTCAAACTTGAGAGTGATCAGATCCTGGATGGAATAGCAAAAAAGCTTTTTAATTCCATTAATCAGTCCTGAAAATTGCTACTTTTCTCCCAAGCCAGGGACATGAGAGTGTTGAGGCTTTTTAACTTCAAGCAGACAAGAAGCTGCCATGAAAGCAAGTAATGCGAAAACAATGGGCTGCTTTCAGGAACACATTTATTTCTGCTGCAAAGAGTTTGCTGTGCAGCTTTCTTCTCCCTTCTCAGCCCCCTTCTCTCCACGCCCCCTTCCTCCTCCCTCACTTGCAGAACCCAAGCACACATTCTCCCCACTTCACGCACTGCCCCCTGCCATCCCAGGGAGCGAGAAATTGGAAACGAAACACAACACTATATGCAGATTGGTTTTAATCACCTGGAACAGATGGTGCAGAAAGTGTCAGGTAAGTGCAATTCCGAATTTCCTTTGGATGTTTCTTAAAATGCAAAGAAACAACAAAGAAACAACAAAGAAATTAAATGGACTGTCAAATGTCAGCGTCAGTTCTGGCTCTGAACAGCCAGGCATTGCCATGTCTACACATAACCTTAATACTATCTAAATCTATTTCTCCACTTCCCGTCAATTAACTAACATTTGAGGGGCTAAGTGGAAGCAGACATACCTAGAAACAAAGCAGACACATTTTTACTCCTTGGCTGTGGGAGAATGGAAGGGAGCCCAGTAAATGCATCTGAGCCAAGCTCACCTGAGCTCTGCACTGTAACAGGTAATTGCAATAAATCATCCTTTGCCCCGTGATCCCAGCCTAGTGAAGATTAATGGCAGTAGGCACTAAAGCTGCCAACTTGGAAGATTTCCGTGGTGGTGGAGAGGAGGCTATGTGTAAGGAATGTGTGATAAAATGCTACGCTGGGACCATAATAAACGGGCTGGAAGGGAGCCGAGGTCCTCCTCTGTAATGCAGAGACATTAAGACCTGTCTGATTGTGATGACAGACAGGTATTTGACTGAGCACACTGGCAGCTATAAAAAAAATAGCTAAAAGCTAATGTCAAGATGTGATGTAGAACTGCCACCTGCCATCAGGAGTAATTATGGCTCTGACCACTTGCTCGTAGGGAGGGCAGAGGAAACAATATTGCATCTGACTGCGAGGAATCGGCTACATTTGATTTGTGGCCCTGATGGCACGACTGGCCTACTGTCACCCTCCATGATGCAGCTGCAGGGCCACTCACCGAGAGCTGCCCTTGCTGGAGGGAATTTGAGGGCTAGCGAAATGTCACTCACTCCAGTAGGGGGAAGCCTCAGAGAGAAAGAAAAGATGGTCTGAAGAGACTGACTGAATACTTTGTGCTCAAAGGAAAGACCAGGCTGAACCTATAACTAGAGTTGTGGACATCATCAGCCCAAGAACATTTTAGAAATGTGGGTCCCAAGAAAGCAGAGAGACCTGGAAGATGCAGAAACAGGTGCTCTGTGGATCTGGAAGTAAAGTTTCCCATATTGGTAGCAACGCGCTGAAGGTAGAGAAAGAGTAATTGTCTCCCCTGAGCTTTGAACCTTTCTCTGTTCTTGGTGGCAATGAGAATGAACCCAGAGCCTTCACACTGAGCTACATCCTCAGCCCTTTCTTTCATTTTTTCATCTTGTTCTGTTTTGTTTTTTGTCTTTTTGAGACAGGCTCTCGCTATGCAGTTCAGGCTGGCCTTGAGCTCACTTGTAGCCCAGGTTAGTCTCAAACACACAAGGATCCTCCTGGCTCTACCTCCTGAGTGCTGGGATTGCACATGTGTGCCACCAAGCCCGGCTCACTTTTTTATTTTAAAACAGGGTCTCACTAAATTGCCAAAGCTGGAAGTAAACTTGAAATCCTCATGCTACCACATCTGAGCTCTGAACTTTGAGAGTCCTATGTAAAAGATCAAGAAAAGGAATTAACAGCTTTACCAGAAGGGGCCTTAGGTTCGCTTACTCGGGCTATCATAACAAAATGTCACAGACTAGGTGGTATAAGCACCAGATAGTTATTGTCTCACGGCGCTGGGAGCCTCAAGTCTAAAATGAAATATTGACAGAATTGGTCTTTCTGAGGGCTGTGAGGGAAGCATCGGTCCCAGCCCTCTCTATGTGCCTCATAGATGGTCATATTCATGTTCACCTGGTGTTCTCCCTATATGCAAGTCCATTTTCATAGCTTCCTTCTTTATCTGGACACCAGTTGTATCAGATTAGGGCCCACGCTAATGCCCTCATCCTAACTGCACTGTCTTTGCAAATATCCTATCTCCACAAAGGTTACAACCTGAGGCACTAAGGATTGTAATGTGAACATATAAATTGGGAGGTGGAAGCACAATCTAACCTAGGTTAGATTCCTGCAACCCACCATGCCAAATGTGATAGGAATAAAAAGTTCTCAAGAATTAGAGGGGAACTGACCATGCTATGGAAGAAGCCCAGTAGAATCTGGCATGGAACAAAAATGGCCAGGTATGTGGGACAGGTGCGGGTACAGAGTCCACAGGTACATGGCATGGGTACCTGGGTACATGGTGCAGATGAGGCCAGTCACCAGAGGGCACAGTCCTGTCAGAGCTCAGAGAAGTGGGCAGCAGAATAAAGGGTCATCAACCTTGGGCAAAGACTTCAAAGACCAATTTGGGGTTTGCCATAGTTTGAATATAAAATGTTCCCCACAAAAGGCCATGTGCTGAAGGCTTGGTGTCCAGCTTGATGGTTTTGGAAGGTGGCAGAAGCTTTAAAAAATGGACCCTAGTGGGATGCCTTTGAGTCATCAGGGCTGCGCCCGCAGCAGGGACAGTGGGTCCCCAATCTCTCCCTTTTCTTGTCTTCCACTTCTGTCCTCATTTGCACCATGACGCACCACCATGGCTGAAAGCAAACCAACCATGGACTGAAACATCCAGAACTGTGAGCCAAAAATGAACATTTTCCCTTTATAATTTGATTCTGTTTGATATTCATTACAGTGATGGGAAGCTTGAACACAAGTTCAAGATAGCATCAGTGGACAACTTGGAGTTAGGCATCCGGGTAATACAGAAAGACACTGGAATATGCTTATGGAGAGAGAGAATTTTAGTGCCCTTTGGTATGTCTCATCTCAGGTCTTTAGACAACCACTTAAAGAACACAGGGTTGACGTATAGGCCCTGACTCTGTACAAGGACATGAAATCCTCATACTCCCAGTCTTCAAGATTCTTCTAATCACCCCTAGGAGATTAAAATTTTACCAAGAGCATCATATCCTCCAGGAACTGAGTAAGAAGTCCCTTCAGTACCCTCAAGATCCTCATTATGGAGATACTCATTCTCTGGGTCACCTGAGCAGACTGTCATAGTGCCGTGCGGAGTTGAGGGGAAACTTTTGACTGTGGAAACATTTGACCTTCCTATTCTAATGAAAACTTGGAAACACTATCCTGAAGAGGGGAAGAGAGGGGCAACTTTGTAATGGGGAAAAAAATACAGTCGCTTCAAAGAGCTTATCCCCTTCTACCATCTTATTGAATTAAATTTGAATAAAGTATTAGATTTTTAATTAGTCTGAAATGTCTTGATAACTCATTAGGTAAATGAAGATACTTCATCTTCAAACTACTTAACTATGACTTATTACAACTGTGTTTTCCAGTAAGGAAAATATATCAAAGAGTATTTTTTATTGAAAAATGAATGATCCTCTTTTTATTAATTTATAACTTTTTAAAATGTCCTTTATGACTTAAGAGAGTTTATTGTTGTTTCCTTTCAAAGGTGTTTTGGGTGTTTGAAGATGAGATTTGAGTTTAAAATCATTTCAGCCAGGCATGGTGGTGCACTCCTGTAATCCCAGCACTCGGGAGGCCGAGGCAGGAAATCATTGTAAGCTGGAGACCAGCCTGGGCTACAAAATGAGCTCAAGGCCAGCCTGAACTGCATAGTGGGACCCTGTGTCAAAAAGACAAAAAAATTAAAAAATAAAAATAAAATAATTTCAGCTCTTAAATATTAAAGAGATATTTATAATTTTTGCTTTTAGCATTTAAAAAATTCTTTTTAACAGCTCAAGTAAGTAAGGCATCTACATTTGAGAACCTGGAACCTTGCTTATTGATGGTACTCTGTGACAAAGATATTCCATTCAAGTTAGGAAGTATTGGAGTAGACATTTTTATGATTACAAATATTGGAAGGTGAGCCATTAAGTATATGAGTCAAACATTTCTTTAAATTTCATATATTTCTTACCCAGGAATTGATTCATGGCACACAGATGGCCCACAGCCAAGCTCTTATTTCTTTCAACAGGAAATTAATAGAGGCCTATTAATTTGAAAAGAAAAAACCCAAAGCAAAAGTAAGATTTCTTAGTAAAACGTCTCCCCCTACCAAAAATACATTCTTGACATAATAACTCATCCAAATAAATTTTCATTTATGCTATTAATTCAACTTATTACTGCTACATTTTAATTTTATCATTTATTAAGCACCAAATGTGTACTTAATAAACTTAGTAAATACATTAAATAAGATTAGTAAACACAGTTCAAGTTCTCTTTACCATCACCCTGTAGCGTAGCTAGCATCATCCCCAAACTTGAGACTCAGAAGGTTAATCTTCATAACCAGGGGTACTTCCTACACATGTGACCTCGGTGGTCACACAGGGCCTAGCACCAGGAAGGGCTACATGTTTGGCTTCATTTTCTGATGCTGTCATCATAAAATTACTAACTTTTGAACAAGCACTCACTTACTGGACCCCACAAATCAATCCATATTGACATTATTTTCCTCCACTCCTTTAGAATTATCACTTAGAAAATATGCATCAAATTTACAAAATGTATACAACCAATTCCCTGCTAGCGGCATAACTCTCCTCCTCCTCGCCACACTCCTGTACAAACCCACACAGATGAAAGCAGTGTGTGCATGGTATCTGGGGTAGCTGGGATAGAGTGGGGCTAGGAAATATTCAATGAATAAATGAAAAACACAAGAGGTCATTTATACTTCAGATAACATCCTTTAAATAATCTAGTCCTCTAAGATGGCTAGAAACGGGAAGACCTTTTGCATGTGGGAACGGGATCTACAGATGGAAAAAGAGGTGACAGAGGGGACAGGAGAGGTAGGTAAAAAGGATTAAGAAGCAATATGTACCAACTCCCCATGATGAATGTATTCATTATGTATTGCAAATGTGTACTAATAAAAATAATTTAAATAATGTCCTCATCTTCCAAAAAGTGTACCTGATATTCTACAACATAAAATTAATGAAACAAATCTGTAAACTTTTGTAACTTTAATCAGCTCTCCTACATCTTGGGTCTATCTACCCTATTTCTATTAATTTTCAAAAATATATACACTAATCTTTTGGTAGAACTTGCTACGTTTTAGTAGAAGATTGTGATGTGTAGTTGTGCTTCATTAACATTAAAGGAAAATCATTAAAGATAATCCTAATCCAACTTCTTTCCCAGTGTTGCTATCTTTACAAAATATTCCTTTTACAGGGCATCTGTCCTCTACCAATATAAATTATTTTCATATAACACATGCTTTCTCCCTTTTTTCCTCTTTTCCTCTCCCTCTTTCCTTCTCATACACACACACACACACACACACACACACACACACACACACACAGTTCAAAAATAAGCTATCAGTGTATTTTCTATACATTTCTAGTCGCTTACTGTCAACGGGAATTTGTGTCTGGAATTAGGACCATCACCATGAATTCAGAAGCAGCTTACAAGTCCTCTAAGTCAGCAACTATCAGATCTGCTGAAGAAATCCTAGCAGACATGATTTCTGGAGGAGAGCCAAGAGGGCTGGGATTCTGTTGAGAGTCAGCCAGACTGTTTCCACTGAGCACATCTGACTCCACTAACACTTAAGACTGTGTATCTCCCTCATCCAGGGCTTGCAACCTGCCAGCAGGAATAAACAGCACAGCACAGGCCTTGAGCATGGGCCCAAGGGTTATGGTTTCTGAACAGAATCAAATCATGGGCTTTGACTTTCCTTCCTCCTGAGGGATAAAGATGACTCAGGCTGAAGCAGCTGAGAAATATGGAAATCATTAGCAGGCTAAACTGTACACAATAACCAAAGTATTAAGAAATATTAGTAAACAAAATAAGCAGCATTTCTGATCCCTGAAGGTCCTTGAACCAAAGAACAGGGCCAAGCAGACTCAGTCATCTAGCTCCTCATCCTGCACGTCCAGAGGATACTGTTCAAGACTGTACGGTTATTTGCATGCCAGACCAAGAAAAGACTCTTCCCAGACTCCCTTCCGCCTCACCCAATGATGTCCCCACCAAATGGTCCCTCCCTCTTTCTGTTTCCCAAAGCAACACGCCCTGTTGTGTTCTCCTTGTACTCTCAGATTCTACCTACAGCCTAATTCCAGGAGTGAGAATGACTCTGTAACCCTGGCCTTCCCCTGACCCATTATTGAATGGGTGGGTGGGGGCTAATGTTCCCCCACAGTCACTCTTCTTTTCTGACCATTTGGTTTTATGGTTCCTTGTTAACATTAGTAGAAGCTGCTATGTGCATACCATAGGAATCGGTTTAGTTTACGAATGAGGACCCCATGTCTAGGGATGACCTAATCTTCTTCACAAGGGATGGACCACCGTTCCTCAAAAGGTGGCCTCCACACATGCACAGGAGCATCTCACCAGCTGCCATAATGAGTGGTGGACACTACATACACTTAGTAGTGGGAGCAAGGGATTCCAGACAATCTGCAATGCTCAAGATTGCTCCTCGTAGCAATTATCCTGCCCAAAATGTCCACAGCACTGAACTGAGAAACCCTTACAGAGCTGGCCACTGAAGAACCCCTTCATACCTCAGCCACATAACCTCAGTCAGACCGAAGGACAGGGTAGGCTGGAGAAAGCGTTAGGGTCCTGGTATGGGGTATGGTCCCCCAAACAAGTCCCCCTGTGACCAGTGGGCCAGAACAATAACAGCTCCAAGGATTTTTTTTTGTTGTAAAAGGGGGACACTAGCATTTAACTCAGAATATTCATAGGGGCTAGCTATATGAGAATGCACATAACACTTTAAGCCACTACTTACTGTAAAAATGTGCAGGATTTGATTCACCCAATTTCCAAAGGAAGGAAACTGGAGAAGAATGATCAAGAGGAAACTGCCAGAAGAGGGTGTCTTGGCAGGGGCTCAGGTTCAGGTGTTTAGAGGGCTGGGGGAGCTTGTGTGGGAGTGGGGGTGTTTGGAGACAGAGAGCAGTGAAGAGGCGAGTCTGAGGGCCAACCGCCATCAGCATATTAGCAAAATATTGTTAATTGATGCCCAAACCTTTAAAAAAAAGTACCAGGAAACATGAGATTGTGAGGTTACATGTCATGGGGAAATGTGCAGGGTGTAAAATTTATATCAAGTTAGGTCAGAAACAACATATCAAGAGGTGAGAAAAAATTGGGGTTAGAAGTGACATTAACCAGTTAAACATTAACCAGATGTAAAAGCCAGTGATTTCAACCCAGTTTATCTGAAATTCAAAGGAAAAGAGAAATAGCAAGTGACAGCTAGGTTAAGACACTGAAAACAAATCTTTAAAATTTGCATTAAAGCTATAATGTCTGATTCCCATTTCACCCCACAGTAGCTCTTCAAACCATAACTGACCAACATTTATTTGAAAGCTAGCCATAGACAAACCACTGCAGCAGCAATAAAGAAGTTGACCATGCAATCATGCCATCAGTTAGAATTGTTTAAAGAATATGTTTGGCGCTCAGGCTGGGGATTTAGCTCAGCAGCACAGCGTCTGCCTGGCAAGCGCAAGGTTATGAGTTTGATTCCCAGTACTGGAAACCGCCCCCCCAAAAAAATATGTTTGGGGCCAAATACACCTGCATGCAGCCCCAATCTTCTTGGACAGGTCACTGTAACTCATACCTCCAAAATCCTCATTGGTAAAATGGCAACAAAAATAATACTCAATTCAGAGGAAAGTATTAAGAAGGACATAGGAGAATCCAGGTAACCGAGCAATATTATCTATGGTACTTTTAGGGGTATATGACTTAGTAAATGTCTGCTACAGTAAAAGGAACCAAAATAAACCTCTACTTCCATGTTTCTGTCCCTTTTGAGTGACTTTATTTGCATACTGCAGTCACCTGTGATGGAGTTAAGTTTGAACAGATCACGAGACATGAATTTTTTGTCAGCATGCAAATTCACAAAACTCTACAGCTTTTAAGTTACTGCAAACAGCCTCCTTTCTGAGAAGCAAGCGGCTTCACTGCTTTCAAAATCCAGGCAGTGCCTGGAGTAAGATGGGCGCACTGATGCTTGCAGAACTTTAAGTGGCTGCTCTCGCAGGAGAGGTACTTAATACCAACAAACCTGCTTTCCAGTGTTATATATGATAGGCACATCTATTCTCACAGGAAGTATTGTAGACCATTGTGAGTAAAATCAGCTGACAATGTATGGGTCTCAAATATGTGATATGACCTAAAGTTCCTCCTCCTTCTAACAAGAAGTACGCCATTACACCTGAGTTCAGACATTAAACTACTTTCCTTGAACATAGAATTATTCCCTTTGCCTGAAGAGATTTAAAAACTAAGCAACAGTTTCAGGACCTCATTGAATAATAGTCTCTCAAACTATGTCTACATACCATAGGCTTTGCCACAGGTGTTGTCCTAATGAGAAGGTGATTTTTGGAGATGACCAGTGTCCTCAAAACAAAGCACCAAAACATTCCCCATGCTTAGTCATAAGGTGACATCTGTAGACTACAGTCTCCACAAGAGTGGCTCTAGACTTTGTCTATTTTGTTCGATGCTGTGTCCTCGGTGGCTAGCACAATGTCTGGAAAGTATGATGTGCTTGATAATTATATGTAGAATACATGCTTCCTGACTCCTACTTTGAATAGCACCCAAGTAGACATACTGGGTAGGAGATGTGGCCTCCTCACCAGCATTTTAGGGGAGCTCTCGCTTAATTTCATTGTTAAGGTGTTTAGCACTTCAACACTTAGGAATGAAAAAGCAAGGAGTATTTTCAAATCCTACAGGCCAGAACCCTTGACATACTTGAAAAACAAAAAAGAAGTTCCAAAATAGTAAAAAGCAATAATGGTGCCAAGCAGACTCTCCCCTTTTGGATCCTTGAGGTCTCTATTTGCCTTACTTGAGACTGGGTAATGTATGGAGAGGAATTTCATTCAAACTTTCAGCCAAATGTCACACTGAAATCTTGCTGCAGGCTACTGAGGGCTCACAATGTGGAAAGCTGTTGCAGAACCATCA